CCCTCTCCCCCCCCCCCCCCCCCCCCCCTCCCCCTCCCCCTCCCCCTTTCCATTGAAACTGATAGGATTCTGTCCGGATCCGACAAGTAATTTTCAATGGTCTCTTCCTCCGAGATGATTACGAGAGGAATGCATAAGGCTGAAAAGGATCACCGGCATTTTCTGTCATGCGGAAAATGATGTCTGGGATTCCCCTTTCGGTATCTGATAAATCCGATTCCCCCGGGAATGCCGTGGATATATAAGCAAGCCTGTGGGCTCCTTGCATTTCCTTCTGCAGCAACCGAACTCCCGAGGGAAATGGTCTTTACATAGATGGTAATTCACAGCGAAGCACGTATACCCGTCTTATGTTCTTTCTCATGAATTCGACGCAGCCGCGCAGTTAAGGAGTGAGAGTTTGTTCTAGCGAACTAAAGCGGAAAAAAGGGCAAAAATTAATGCGCGGCAAAACGTCAAGAAACCGTAACAAACACAAAATCAATGAGATTACTCAGAGATCTTCTCTCCCCTGTGCATTGCATTATTCTACATAACCGTGTGCTTCAGCAATCTCATTTTGCCTTGAATGTATTTTGCACCTTTTTTTTATTATTATAAACCAATGTGATAGTCTCTTGAACACTTGATAGTCTCTCGAATTCCATTCACTCGCAGGAGTGAATGGAACCCGGTGCGGGCCGCTCGGACCTCCATTTCGATAATCGAGTCGATTCCCACGTGCGAGCTTGCGGAGGCATGCGTTCGTTTGGTTCTTGCGCATACCTGAAACTCAATTCTGCCATTAGGGGTTCCTCGTTTGAAGTGCTTTTCTTTCGAATTCGGTTTTCCTTCGTGCACTTAGTTTCTGAAAATTCAGACCCTCTTTTCCCGCTTGTTGTCCCAGAAACTCTCTTCGTCTTTTGAGGACGACCGTCGATTCGTGTCAAGCGCGGCATTGTTCCCAATTGCGTCGTTCGCATTCGCGGCATCGAGTCGTCGGAGTCGTCCTTGTTTCACTCCATCGCCCGGAATTCTTAATCTGCGCTTGAATGGTATCCATGATTGAGATTTGTGTAGGGTGTGACGAATTGCATCTCATTCTCTGGAGCTAAGTCGTAGATTTAAGGATCAATGGTTCTTCGGGCGAATCGGCACTCGCGGTGTCGTCGCCGCGCTTCTCAAGTTTGAACGGCTTTATTCCCCAGGTGGCTTCGAAACCCTACTCGTTTCGGAGTAAACGTGGTGAAGCCACCCACATCTCTCTGGCCACTCCATGGCCATATTTATAGACTGCTCTGAACCGATTGGAGACTCCGTATAGACCAATACACCCCCGCAATCGGGGACAACCTTCAAAAATAAAAGAGGGGAAGGAGGGGAAAGAGGGAAGGAGGGAGGGGAAGGAGGGGAAGGAGGGAGGATGACTAAGAGGTGAGGAGACTTGGAGGTGACGTCTCACGTTGGAGGTGGTCTTTGCCCTTCAGGTCTTCTCTCTATTTCCTTTTTCGGGAAGGAGAATAAATACAAGAGCCAGCTTCCATCCTGTCAAAGAAGCCGCCACGAACGATCTATTACGAGGAAAAAGTCACTCGACCTTCAAGCGTCCAGTCTATAAGTTTTACCCCCATTGGAATTCTCGCATGACGGACACGTCGCGTTACATTTATGTCGTTATGCTCGAAACGCGGACTCATTGTCTCCGTTAGGAGGAAACTCGACGGCGGATTGTGTGAAGGAACTCGCTTGTCATACGACCTTGGCGCTGGTGGATTAGCCCCAGGCCGATGAGGAGACTTTTGCACTGTGGATACGTAATTCTAAAAGAAAAAAAAAACAAGGATTTTGACTTTCGGTCGCACCAATCAGGCCACACCAGATGATCACAGAGACCTCGTGCACGTTGTTTGCGCCAATGTATGAGGAAATAGACGCCAAGAAACTGATCCCTTCACGTCGCTGAGTCGTGCCTCTTTCTTCCAAAGGTGGGAGACAAACAAATTCCTTCCTTCTCGGGAAGAAGGCCCGCTAACAAGGTTGAGAAGCGTTACTTCATAATGATATATGGGAATCGAACCAAATTTGGCAAAGACGAGAGAGAAAGCTGATTTGATTCAACGCATGATTCCCTCCTCACCACAACCACACACCAACCGTGACTGGTGAAACATTCGTTCAAGCAGCTCCGGATTGTGAATGTAGTATGTTTGGGAATCCATTGAAGTGCGATCATATCGTGAACTTGAACAAAAATTATATTTCCGTGTAATGCTAGCCCTCCCTTTCTCCTTCGTTTTTCTATTGTAATTCCTATCCAACAAGTAAAGAGGTATAATTAAGGTCTTGGAGAAATTCGTGCTTGAGCATAATTTATATTGCTATTGAGAATTGCAAATTCGTTTAATATCTTCACCGCGGGAAAGGTAATAGCGACCGCCAACCTTGTCGAATCTCGGGGCGATCCGCGCGCCCCTCAAACTGTGTCAAGTCATCAAGCCGGAGTTGCCGGTTCCTTTCTTGCTTTCATAAATGATTGATGGCTGATGGCTGATTTCATAACTCGTCGGCGAGAAATGTGGGGAGAGGTTGGGCGCAGTGGCGTTGATGGAGCGTCTAATAGGATTCGTGAAAAAGTCTGATACTGTAAGACATCCAATCGGACGAAATTGGGGAATTATCTAGAGCCATACCAAACTTGTGGCCGAATTCCACCGTTCCTTCGTCGATGTTCCAACGGGGAAGAAGAATCGCGAGGAGGAGGGAAAGCGAAATTGGAAGGGTCGATGCGTGGGCGGATAACTTCTTGATGGCATCAGGGGGATTGGGGATTTGATCGCACTGGAACGAGTCGCAGGCTGGCGTGGCACAAGACTTGAATCCGAATTTTCCAGAATTTCTTTCTGGCGTTTCTCGTTTTTCGAGCGTGCCGTTTCACACGGGGAAATTCCTTAAGCGCGACAGAGGAAGCCCAGATGGCGACGCTCGACGAAATGCTGGAAGCAAGAAAAACCAGGACCATCGCGCACGCGCTTGTACGTGTATGTGTAGCGTGAAAGAGGGGGAACGGAAGTTGACGAGCCGTTTCACACGTCGCAATTGCGAGCCATCTTCGCCATGAATCATCTTGCTTTCTCGTTTAGGATCAGAATCGGTTCGAGAGAAACTCCGTTCCCCCTTTTTTTTCCGCTTTTCTTTCTCCGTTAACGCGCTTCCGGTTTTTTTTCCTATCTTCTTTTTCTCTTATCGCTCTCCGAGAATTCTCTTTAAATTGTCCAATCTGAAACGGATTTGAATCCCGATGCGGCATTGTAATGCTGGCTAGCTTACAGCGTTCTAAGTTCGGGATTTTTCGCAGGATTCTTTTGGAGTATAAATGGGAAGCGACGTATTCCCCACGACCTTCACTTTACGTTTTTACGTGAAAAAAATTGTCGGAAAAGGCCGTTGCTTGAGACATGCTCCTTATGTCTGTGCATGAAATAAAAAGCAAATTATTACTGAGGTTATTTTATTTTTAAGGTTATCCCTCTTAAACTTTAAAGGCGTGAAGCATAACCATCACCATCTTCATCCTCATCTTGACTTGTCTGGTGTAATTTTTTCCCCCCGCAGAAATTCAGGGGACCCTGAAGTTGTGCCTATGCAATGCAGAAGTCATCGCGTGTCAGAAGATGGGCCTCACGTTCATTCCGGGAAACTTGCCCGCCGCCGTCGAAGAACTGTGAGTTTCTGCAATAGCATTTGCCTTTTTTTCTGTTTGCTGGATGCCACAGAAAGACTCGCTTTCGATATGTCTTTTGTAGTATGATTTTACATATATATTTTTTTCTTCTAAATATTTGTTTCTCCGAGAATTCTAGCTCATGGTCTGGAATATTCCGCACGCCATGTGTACTGAGTCTAAAACCATGTGTTCACAATTTCACAATTGAATGCTTAAGTAAGAAGTGCAAGGGAGCTGGGGCCTTCCTTAATGAATGAGCATGTGTCTTTTTTTTTATATCTCAGTTGGGCAGGGCATCCACAGGGGACTCTGAGCAAACACTCCTGCTGCTTCCTCAAGGCAGCAGCGGGAGTGTGACTAGGGGAGAAAATATCGTATTCGTATTTGTTTTGTGCACGTATTTAGCCAGCAGTTCTTTCTTGGATTGGGGACAAACTTTGGGCTTGACCTTAACCGAAAAGAAAAAAAAACGTGAAACCTTGGCAGCTTTTTATCACCTAATGCTGATGTAGGTTAATGCAAGAAGGAGGTCAACGATGGCTTGGCACTAATTTCCGGATCTTGGGACCACTGTCGAAGTGAGGAAGAGGCACACCACGGGTGTGACAAGGGGAGATACCATGCTGGGACGGACCGCAGAAAGAGAGCTTTTCTTCTATCTCTCCTTTCTCCTCAGCTTCCTTCCCGTTTTTTTTTTCCTTCTCCGCTCCTTTCACGGGTTCCCCGAGATTCGATGCAAGTCGATGCGAAAGACAGATGCTACGCCGTTCTGCACTTCTTTTCTCTCGCTTCTCCTCCCATCTTCTGGCCTTTTCATCCAGGCCAATTTCATGTATCGACCTGAGACTGATAAAGTCATGCCTCGGGGTATGACAGATGGAGATGGCTCCATCTATCTATTATACATGTTCTATTGAAGAACTGAGAGGAAAACTGGCCTTTATGCAAAGAAAAATTCCATCCTCAAGCTCCAGAAGGAAGGAGTGAATATTCTAGTGGCCCTCTTCTTAAGAGCAAGGAAAAGCTCTCCATGACCATGGACCTGTTTTCGCGAACACGAACCCCACGAATCTATGGAAATGTGAGGAAAAAGGGTCTACGTGCCCAAGATCAGATTCTCGGAAATTTGTTTGCAGATTGGTCAGTTTTCCTTTCATCCCTTCCATTTTGAACGAGCGAGTCGAAGTGGATGATGGCAAGGCGTGTGTGGGTTGTATTCCCCCGACACAAAAGCTGAAAAACGTCGCGTGAGACGAGTTCTCCCACTGCGGCGTCCTTTCAATGCGAGTCCTCTGAGTCGGCCGAGCTGATGAAAGTCTACTATGAAAATATTTATACGACCCCCCCTGATTGTCTCCATTTAGGACAAGATAAGCCTCATTTCTTTTCTTTTTTTTTTCCTTGACAAGAAAGGTCGCCCGGGTACTAAACTTGCCGATGGGTTGATGGCTCCGAAGAATTATTTAGTTCCTGCATTGAGTCTTTTGATCACGCAATGTGACAGATGAGCCTGTCATGAGACGTGAATCTGATGACTTCTCCCAAGCTCTCCCGTGTCCCATATCTTCTTCGCGCTCTCACGAAAGGACCGGTTTGCTTTATCCTTTTTAGCACTGTAAGTGATAATGAGCAATGTCCTCTAGACTCTTCGGACAAACTCTTGTCTTGTCGCCTGAGATTGAATTTTCCTGAAAGTGAGGGCTCAGGAACAAGATTCCCAACGCTGTAAATCGCGTCCATATGTCGAGGTTAAATATTTTTTTGCCACTATATTTTGTAGCAAAGCTGGAGTAAAATCAGTTTTGAATGTTCTTTTCTTTATTCCTCTCAGGTTGCTGAATTCAAATGCCATAACAGCACTGAACGAATTGGCTCTGAGAAACCTGACGGAGCTCCGTCTTCTGTAAGTTAATTTTCTCAAAGGCCTTTCCTTTCATAGCGCTCTTGGGCCGTCTCGCCTCACGGTATTGATTTTGTTTTTAAAGGAGCCTCAGCGGGAACCAGATCCAAGAGATCCCTGCGAATACCTTCGCTTCCTCTCCGAGACTACGGAATCTGTGAGTGATTTGATATATCATATTCGCAATGTATTGCTTGCAGATGAGACCGAGAGAATTTGAATTGAAACCGTTTTCCAGGTATTTTGGCTATAATGCACTGCACTGGATCGTGAGGGACGCATTTTACAACCTCAACAATCTGCGATATCTGTGAGTGCGAAATCTGTTCTCGTTCCGCGAGACTTTTCCTGCTTAGATTGAGTCAACAACGTCCCTCCTCCTTCCCTTCATCCACAAATGTCATCAATAGGAACTGTAACTTGTCATTGGTCAAATATCCCCTTCCCCCCTTCCTTACGCGTACCCGCTTTTTCTGTCAATGTTTTCGATGAATATCAGAGTCGAATGAGCACCATAGTTCATTAAAATGATTTCCGCCTTCAGTATTCTTATTCTCACATTCGCATTAGTACGTGTTTAGTGGCGTATTTAAGAGGAGGCGACACTGTCTCCTCTCTCAAAAAATATATAGGTAGGGGGCGCAGAAGTTATTATCACATCAGCCAGTAATATGAAGAAGGAAAAAAGTTATTTGATATAGAGCTTCTTCAAGGGAGAATGAGACGCAACCATCCTCAATTCCCGTTCCAGTCCTTAGCTTCTCCCCCACTACGGCCCCCTCCTTCCCCTTCCTCCCCGCTACCACCCTCGCTTTCCCCTTCCTTCCTCGCTACGATCCCTCCTTCCCCTCTGCCATCTCCTTCCTCTCGCCCTCAGCTTAATGACAAAGAAGGAGCCTTAACCCTTTCACGGGAAAGTATTTTCCGCATCATCTACTCATCCGGAGGGGGGGGGGTGAGCATGTTCAGGGGTTGAAAAGAATGTCATATCTTATGTTTAAATTGTTGGATTTTCATAAATTTGTAAAAGAGAAATACGAAATTGAATGCAGAATGCATGAACTGAATTTCAATCAAAAATTGCTGGTTGAATTTTAATACATTTGTATCATAATAAACAGATTGGGAGCCTCCCAAAAGCGCACAATTGTCAAAACGTCTATGAGGGGCGTTAAAGAGTTAAGGGAGGTTTACACTTGCAGATATACTCGCATGAAAGTTACTTGTGTGAGAGATCGTCTAAATGAAATCTATGTACGTGTGAGTACTTCCACGAGGGTGTTCATCTCTATTTTCATGCATGTGTGCAAAAAAGACGGGCAGGTTCTTTAACTTGCTTCTGAAGTAAATTCGCATTTGCAAACCCATTTTACAAACATTTGACTAAACCTGTTGTCATCCCCCCCCCCCCCCACCCAACCAAAAAAGCAAAGGAATTCCTGCTCGTAATGGCTATCGTTAACATTTGGCTAGTAGTCATATTTAAACTTGTTGCCATTTCAAAAGGGCAATATTGGGGAGGGGGAAATAATGTCCTAAGCAGTAGTCTTATGTTACCATATCGGATCCCAAGTGATCCATTTTGGTTACATATCAGACCATACTTGGAATCATTATTCATATGATCCAAATAGCATTCTTCATTCTCATGAATAATGGTATTGGGATCTACGTTTCTTTCTCTTGGTTCGACTTTTCCTCTTTTATCCAAATTTTCTGGAAGAGGCTGACCAACTGTCTGTGTTCCTTTCCAATGATTAGGGCCAGTTTATTTTCATCGATTTGACCACTGTAATTCGACTTGATGGGATATTTCCTTCTCAAGTCTTCCTATCCCGCACATCCCCGTAGGAAATATTACGATAGGATTCTCGGTTCTCACGAGGAGGACCTATGGGAAAGTTTCACGTGAAATGATCATCTTTTCGGGACAGCGTGACCTTTTGGCTGTGCCGGCGTACCTTCGAATGGAGTACATTCACTGTATTTCTTCAGAAAATGACAACCAGTGGAAAATGACTTAATTGAATGCCGTCGACATAACAGTAGATGACAGTCCGATGAATCCGAGTCAAACGCGAAAACAAGAGGAACCGTGTCCTGTGGTCCTGTGTCGCGATTCGCAAGAGTTTAGGGGACGAGAGAAGCATCCTCGCGATTTGCATCTATCAGGAAAATTTCCGAGGGCTAATCTATCTGCAAGATTGCAGGATGGTCTCCTTACTCGTTCACGACTGCATGTTAATTGCCTTGCGGCTGATTAACACGTTGGCGACAATGCGTCCTGATGCCAGGATGCAGATTTTTTTCCAATGAATACCCTCTGGAACTGTTGAGAACGTTAATGTTTTCTGGGACCATGCGTCCTGATGGCAGGACGCATTTTTTGACAAAAAAAATGCGCGTGGTCCCACGCGGCGGACAAGCAAAAATAGGCTGGTCGTCAACGTGTTAAGATTCAGTTCGACGAGCACCCTCAAGGGAAGCATGCGTCGTATCTCACGACGCACTCCCTACAGATCATCACGAACCACCGTCTCTACTCCGCCGAAATCCAATAACGGTGACGTTCGTGCTGCCGTATACGGTATTGCAGGGGTAGGGTTGGGATGTCCCTTCTCGCTGTGTTGGCGAAATGAGGACTTGAGGAAAAAATGAGGGGCAATCGATGTCTGTAACTGCATGCTAGGTGCAATTTTCCTTCACGCAACCAAGCTGCTCATGTCAGCTGCCATTCCGCCTCAATTCTGGTCCTTTGCACGCGAGAATCTTGGCCTTGGATGGATCCCGCTGGACCACTCTTTCATTCGAGTGCAATCTTGATGAATTTTAATTTACGGTTTTCCTCTGAGGAAATCGTCGGAACACCAATCGGAGACTCTTCTGCTGAAAGAGGATAATTCAAGTGGGAACTACCCAAAAAGTTGTCTGCATCGGAGCGGGTTTCCTTAAATCCCGCAGAAAAATAGGATCGGCCGGCAAAACCGAGAGTCACAAATTCACACCGAGAGAAGCAAGAAAAAGAATGGAAAGAATTGAAAAATCCGAAGATAACCTCAAAGGGAGAACATTTCCTTTTTTTCCAGCGATAATGAACAAAAACGTTCGCATAATTAGTTTGATCAATTTTCTTTGAGCTCAACTTTTCAGATGTTCCTTTCCTTCATTTCATTGGTTGCGTGTTATGTGGGCTCCTCCAAGGCACAAAGAACATGCATGAAATGAGGCACGAACTCTTGCTTGTTTTCCTTTGGGTAGAGTATTCCTTATTGCCCTTTTTCTGAGTCAAGGCCGTATGTACTCGATAGAACCATGCCCGTGACCTAACATGCATGACATAAGGTCACGAAGTCTGGCTTCCTCGGCTCGCACTTTCCTTATGGGCTTCGGGAATCGATGAAACAGGCTTCGTTATAACATCCTTCGATGTACCCTCGTCGTTCGATGTCCTGTTCTCTCAATTTTCCATCCTTCTCTTGAAATCACAGGCCATTTTGAGGACCATTTCGATGGCAATGCCGACGCACAATGCGAAGCAGATTGCTCTGAAGAGGATTTCTGTTCCCAAAGTTTATAACGAAGTTCTCGATCGTCCGAGCCTGCGGATGGGGAAGGACTGTCAATATGAATCAGACGAAAGTGTGTGCCGAATGCAAACATCTCGTCGCGTCTGGGATCACTGAAGGAAGAATAATATTGATGCCGTGAGCCTCTGTCTCGAAATGAGCCAGATGTCTTGACCCCCTTTTCGGGATGTCTCATCGTCTGGAGCTGAGTCAAATTCGCGAACGTGGCTTAAGCCAGCGAGAAAGAACAGCGAAACATTCCACTGTTAATTCTCGCTGGCTTAATTCGCGTTCCCTCTATCATATGAACCCTTGCCAGCTATCGTTATATCGATCGCAGTGGGGACGATTAACTGACGACCGATAAGTCGATTGCGGAGCCATCTGGGCACTTCTTCATCTAGTCTATCGGGCACAGTTCCATCATCTCACGTAACTAATTAACCCAGCGGGGTTAATTGGTTACGTGAGATTTACAGATAGGTTATGTGAGATGTTGCACCCCACAAACTAGGGGTGCGAGAGGGTCCCAGGGGAGCGCGACAGGTCCTGGCCTTAAATTTTTTTTTGCAATTTATTTTAGTGTGCACTTTGAAAATTTATATTAATTTTTTTTTGCATGCCATTTTTTTCACATTCTTTCCCTGTCGAGTCAAAGCAGATTGAAGCAGAGTAGCCGGATGCAAAGAGAGAAAGAAGGGGGCTCTTCTGTCGCATATCTCCTGGAATACACGACCGAGGTTTTTCTTGTTTTCTCTGCGAATACAAGACTGAATTAATGCAATCACCTTTTGCAGGCTAAGTCCGGCTTTTAGAAATCCAAACTCTCAACTGATCTCGTTGATCCTTCGGAACTCGCTCCTGCATTTCGCTTGGTCCAGTAGACCTGCTTCAACCTAGCTTTGAAGATTTTTTTAGGTTGCCATCACAGCGTTGGATTGTGCATCTCATTGTACCGTGAATTTAATGCTTATTTTAGTGTTGTATCTGTGTATTGCATTTACTTTCAATGAAGTAATATTTTTAAAGTCAGCAGAGACTCAGAAGAGCTCGTTCCCCCCGGTTGGAGCAAAATAATATAATCAGATCAAGGTACATTAGGCACCCTTTCAGGTAAAATCCCCCGTCGAACGTATCGAGGAGGATTATGAGCAACTCTCCATGAGGGCTACGAAAATTCTCTCAATCACATCTTACCAATGCGAGGCTTAGATTTCCAAAGGTGCTGCAATGAAGAAATATCGATGGTGACCGGATGATGATGATGATGAGCTTTTTAGACATCAGACTCAGGTCTTCAGCATCATTGATCGATAGCATTTGTGACTTCGGTAATGGAATTTGTGACTCATTTTCAATCGATCTAGAAAATAATCATTTCATAAAGAAATGTCATCATGGGTGAGGCACCCATGATGACACCATCGACCCACTGCACCATCCAAGAACGTAAAGCATTGCAGTTTAAGTTTAGTCTCACTCCGGAGTCGTGCTAATAGTAAACCTTGGTTACCTTTTCCGTGATGGCAACAGCAGGTGTGGTTTATCTCTCAGCGGCTATCTTCAGTTCACAGCCGGTGGTCCGTCTCCTTTGTCCCATGATCGTGAAATTCAGATGATCGTTTTACGAAATCCATTAAGAGTGGCTACAGAGAGCTTCCCTTCGGTGCAATGGCAATATAACTATCCGTTTTTTTTCATTCTTATTTGCATAACCTCCTACCTTTAATCGATCCTGATCACATTTG